TGTGTCCCTTGGCAGCAGTGGAAGTCTTTCACCCCCAGTACAGTACGGATGACTAACACTGTAGACAATGTGGGGACCTTACATGTTTGATATGCTCACATGTATGAGAAAATTTCATATACGTATTTATATTTATATATATATATATATATATTGTGGTGGATGTGTGTGTATATTGGTGTTACCGGTTTACGTGGGCGAGCCCTTCGTGATTCGAACCAACGAAAAAGAAAGTGCACAACGACAAATAATGCGCGGGAAAAAAATGCGTTCTTTAAAAAAAGGCAGCAAAAAAAAAAAAAATATTTATTAACTCACGTACTGGAAATTTATCGATGTTAATAATTTTATTTACGAAAATAATTTTAAAAAATTGAAACAATTGAAAATGTTATTTATTTTTTATATTTTTTTTTTATTTTTAACAGCTTGGATTTTTATTAAAACAAAATGTTAGGAAAGATTTTTTGATAAAAAAAGGAAATTTTGTAAAAAATTGTATAAATAATAAATTTCGATGTGACGATGCACCTGATGTTAGAGGATAAAGTGAATGCGCTTGCAAAGTGAGACAAGTCTGTGATTTGAGATATTATTCTATTTGAGAGATTTGATGCGAGCTCTCAAGTGATGTAGTACGCAGAGGTATTACTGTAATCGGTAAATTTTATCATGCGCGCGGTCACAGTTACGGGCGCTAAAGAGGCTTATATGCCCAGTTTTATACACCTATATAGTGTACAACGTATGGTAGTGTATATGGTGTATATATACACTTTACAGTCAACGTGAATCACGTAACGGCTTTGCTACGAATCAAGGAAATTTATTACCCTCCGCCGCCAGATATAGAGTCAATATTGACAAAATTGCTATGGTAACTTTATTCCCATCCAAGATATATTCCAACGAGATGATAAAAAAATATTTACACAATGAATATTTTGCATTAGTTTTTGCTCCGGGATCTCAACATATTGTAATTATACTTTCTTTAAAACCTTTAGAGGGCCGGTAAATTTGCACAAATTTTAGTTTTTTATTTAAAAAAAAATTAAATAAGAAGTCAATTCAATAAAAAGATTCGTCAAAATAAACAGTCCTGCCCCCTAAAGGTTAAGGGCAGGAAATTTTAATTTTCGTCTAGGCGAATTTTTTATTTAAAGTTCGTGGAAAAAAATATTGTTCTCCTGGAACTGCGATAAGTTTCTCTGGAATAGCGAAAATTTTAAATGATTCAACTAAAAATATCGCTAATTTAGTGAAATTTGTAGCTGTTGCAGGTAAAAATTATTTTCCACGTTATTTAAAGTCAGTTGTTAATTGCTTTTTTGTTTCCTAACTTTTTTTCTTCATTTTTCTTTTTAAATACTTATAGGTATTTTCAGTTTTAAAATTAATTTATTGAATAAATCATTGAATTCTTGCAAAGTATCTTATCAAAATATTTAAAGAGAATAATTGAATTTCTTCGAAGAATTTTTTTATTTTTGAAAATAATTTCTTTCGATGAATTTTAACAAAGTTTTGGAAAATACATTTTTTAATCAATTTATTTAAAAGTGTATATTTAAAATAATTGAAATTTTGTGAAGAATTTTACTTTTTATGAAAATAATTGAAATCTTGCAAAAGATTTTATTAAAATTTGTGTAAATAATAAAATTTTTTTGAAGCATTCTATGAAAATTTAAAAGAATAATTCAATTATTTCGAGTAATTTAATAAAAATTGTATTAGAAATAATTGAAATTCTTTGATGAGTATTATTTATGAAAATAATTGAATTCTTGCGAAGAATTTTATTAATGTTTTTAAAAATAATTGAATTCCTGAGAAGAATTTTATTAATTTGTGAAAATAATTGAATAATTAAGAAGAATTTTATTATTTATGAAAATTATTGAATTTTTGCAAAGAATCTTATCAAAATATTTAAAGAGAATAGGTAATTGAATTTCTTCGAAGAATTTGTTTAATTTTTGAAAATAATTTAATTCTTGCGAAGAATTTTATTAAAATTTTAAAAATTTCTAATACTTTGGAATAATTTCTTTGAATTTGTTTAAAATAATGGAGTTTCTTTAATAATTTTAATTGAAAATTTTGAAAATAATTGAATTAAACTAAGAATTTAAATATAATCATGTCAGTTAATAATTACATAATGAAATATTTGATTTTTGAAGTTTATTAAAATTGTTTTGAAAATAATTGAAATCCTCCGAATAATTTTATTTATTAATGAAAATAATTTAAATTTTCCAAAGAATTTTTTTTTGTATTAAAATTTTTGAAAATAATTGAAATCTTCAAAAGAATTTTATTTTTTATAAAGATAATTGAATTTTATTAAAATTTTTGAAAATAATTATATTCCTGCGAAGAATTTTATTATTTATAAAAAATAATTTTAAATTTGCGATGAATTTTACTTCGAAAGGATTTCTCGACAAGAATTTTTTTCAAATTTTTTTAAATAATTTAAATTCTGTAAAGAATTCAATTATATTTATGAAAAAAATTGAATTCTTGATAAGAATTTGTTTCAAATTCTTGAAAATAATTGAAATTCTCCGAAGAATTTTTTTATTTAAGAAAATAATTGAAATCTTCCAAAGAATTAATTTTTTTTTGAAGATAATTGAATTCTTGCAAAGAATTATTGTATTATTAATTAAAATAATTTAAATCTTCAAAAGAATTTTTTTTTATGAAGATAATTGAATTATTAGGAAGAATTTTATTAAAATTTTTGAAAATAATTGAAATTTTCAAAAGAATTTTACTTTTTATAAAAATAATTTATATCTTGCAAAGATTTTTTATTAAAATTTTTGAAAGATAATATAAAATTGTTTCGATGAAAATTTAAATTCTTTGGATAAATTCAATTAAGATTGTATTGAAAGTAATTGAATTTTTTGAAGAATTTTATTAAAATTTTAGAAAATAATTGAAAATTCTTTTGGAAAATTTTATTGATAATAATTGAATTTTTGTATAGATTTTACTATTTTAAAAAATAATTGAATTGTTTCGAAGGATTTATTAAAATTTTGTTGAAAATAAATAAATAAATAATTAAATTTTTGAAAAAAGTTTTATTATTTTAAAAAATAACTGAATTCTTCCGAAAAATTATATTATAAACTATAAATTTTCTAATTTGTAAATAAATTATTTATTATAAATTTATTTTTTTTGTTATAATAAAATTTACATTTTATAAATTTATATCTTACTATAATAAATCTTATGGCTTATAAATTTATTTATTACTATAATAAATTTTGAAGTTTATAAACAATTTGTAAATTTTAATATTCAACAAATGTGTAGAGAAATCCAATCAAAGTTTACAAAAGTCATTTATATTTTCAATCCCTTTCTATTCTATTAGACAAATTTTGTCCTAAACAAACTCATAAACGACTGCATGTCCCAAAGCCATAACTCCGATATCTAATAGAAATTCTACGAGACGAAAAATGTCGTGTCTATTTTATTTCGTTCAGAAATCTATAGAAAACCTAAAGAGGTGCTAATCGACGAAATTAATTATTTCTTTCATAAATAATTATTCTTTACACGTTTCACTTATAATAATCATTAGCAGTGAAAAAATTGATTTAATTTTTCTGAATAATTATTAGTGTTTTATTCATACTATTTCATTTATAAAAATTAAAAATAAAAAAATAAATTAATTTAGTTTAAATTCAATTTAAAACAAGACATTCTCATTTTGGATGAGAATATGTAAAAAATTATTTAGATTCAAATAGAAAAATGTAATTTATTGTTTCTATTTATATTGAAATAAAAGGGAAAAAATTCATTAGTTCTATTTATGTAGAAATAAATTAATAATAATAATAAATTAAAATAATAAAATAATTTATAATAATAAAATAATAATAATAATAATAATAATAATAATAAAAATAAAGTAAATAAAATAAAAATTAATTATTAATTAAATTGTTAAGTTATTACAATTAATAAATTAAAAAATAATATCAAAAAAATAATAAATAAAGAAATAAATGATATTTATACTATAATTGGAGTAAAAATAAATATTCCAGTCTCGTTATCAAGAGACATTAATGCCGAACAACTGCAGCACTATTCCAAATGACATTTGTGGTGACAAACCCAGAATATGGTGGAAGAAAAAAAGCCGGTCTATTTAATACGGTTTCAAAAATTCCATTATCATTGTAATTTAAAAAATATCGAAACGTGAATTGAATCCGTATGCAAATAAAACGTTTTATTTCCTCTCTTCGTCACGAGAAATAAAGTAAAAAAATCGAAAAACTAATTATAAAATTCGTCACCTGTGTAGGGAATATTTTTAAAATAATATTTTTTATCTACATTATTAATATATATTTATAAAATTTAATTAAATCCAATTAAAAATAATAATTACGCATATCCGCAGAAAAATTTATACGCAACATTAAAATTCGTTTACTAACGTAAAAAGTATTATTACTAGATTATTGTAAACGTACCATAATTTTGTTAGTAGGTAAATATTTGGAATAATTACAAATTATTTAATTATTAATTCTTAATTAAATGAATTAAATAAATGGAATATTTCTAATTATTTTTAATTTTTAACTTGAAATAATAATTTATTCTACTATTAAATAATAACATCCGTTTATTATAATTATTATTTATTTATTTAGTTAACAATTTATACGGGTTTACAAAAATAATAACAATTAATAGCATACGTTGTTATTTAATAACGTATGTAAATAATAAGAAAATAATAAATAATAAAAATATAAATATATTAATATAAATAATAAAGATAGTGATATAAATAGAATTTTTCTTTAAATTATTCAAATATTATAATTTATAATTAATAACGTTTGTCATTATTTAATGACAGAATAAAGTGTTAATAGAAATATAAAGAAAAAAAAATGTTCTAGTGAAAGAAAGATAAGAGAAAAAGAGTGGAACTTTACCTCAGGGAATTGTGCATTTTGAAAAATTCTACTCTCAACTGTCAGTCTTGATTAAAATTCACCTCTTCCGCCACGTGTAGTGAAACTAAAAACACGAAACACGTTTTACGAAAGATCAGCCATACGTCCGCTCAGATTGAATGCGCGTTAACAACTGAGCGCTGAGAGTATGCTCTCGAGTTAAGAAGAACTGAGACTTCCGACGAAGATTCCCGAACTCGATTACCGTATAAAAACCGTTTTCAAATTTATTTTTATTGATTAACAATCATTAGATATTTTGTTAAATAACGATTCAATTTTACAACCGCATATAAAAGTTTTATGCTCCCCTGAAATAAATAAGGGGATTATAAAAATTTTTGTTTCCCTAACGAACATAAAATTTTCTCAATTTCTAAATCGTGTAGGTATATAATTATGATATTATGAAATTATTTATCTCCTCTTAAATTAAAATAATGATTGGAATCACTAATCACCCTAATTATTATTTTAATTTTTCTGTAAATTAATTAAATCATTACAAAAGTGTAAAAATTCAAAAAATATATTTTTTGAATTTTAACACTTTTGTAATGATTTATTTGCAGAGAAAAAAGTGCAATAGAGCTATTAAAAAATTACTTTATTTTGCAAAAAACCAGCAAAAACATTTTTTTATTTACGAATAAAGATTTCGAAATATTTATTTAAATATTTATTTCGTAAATATAGGTACATTTTACATAAAAAATATACATTTTTTATTGTCTACAATTTTATTTGTTTTTTTTATTTTAATAGAATTTGTTAAAGAAAAGCAATTTATAGTAATTGAAATAAATTGATTTTAATAACTTAATAATTAAAAGGATATTTTTTACTATACTTGAAGAGTAAATTTTACTATTTCCAGAGTAAATTTGAGAATACATTAATTAAAATTTACTTTTGACGAAGTAAAATCTACTCCGAAAGTTATAAAATTTTTCAAGAAATTTACAGATTGTTTTTATTTTTTTTAAATTTATTATAAAAGAATCTGCAAAAATTGAAAGAATTTATTTTAACAAAATAATTAAAAGGAATTTTTACTGAATTTTAAGAGGAAATTTTATTATATCCAAAGTAAATTTTAAAAGAAATTAATTAAAATTTACTTTGGGTGTAGTTGAAATTTACTCCGAAAGTAAAAATTCAAAGTAAATTGTTGCAGAAATTCCGTAAGATTTACATTGAACAAAGTAAATTTTTTTTTGAAAATAGTAAAATTTTTCAGAATTGAGCAGAAATTGAATGTAAATTTAAGCAGAAATTATTTAATATTTATTTTGGTCGTAATGAAATGTTCAAGAATTTTCTCAGAAAATTTTATTTCCTTTTTTATTTTATTAGAATTTATTACAAAAAAAATTTGCAAAAATTAAGTAAATTGATTTTAACTTAATAATTAAAAGAATTTTTTTTTTTACTAAATTTCATGCAAAACTTTTATTATTTCCAATGAAAATTTTAGAAAGAATTAATTAAAATTTACTTTGGACATATAGTAAAATTTACAAGAAATGCGCAAAAATTGAAAGTAAATTATAATAGAAGTTCAGTAAGATTTACTTTGAACGTAATAAAATTTTATTGGGAAATAATAAAATTTTTCAGAATTGAGCAGAAATTGAAAGTAAATTTTAATAGAAATAAGTAAAATTTACTTCGAAATAGTAAAATTTACCAAAAATGCAGAGAAAATTTTCTTTTCTTTTTTTTTAACTTAGTAATTAAAAATATTATTTTACTATACCTCAAGAGTAAATTTTAATATTTTCATAGTAAATTTTAGCAGAAATTATCTCAAATTTACTTTAGATGTAGTAAATTTCATTCTGTACAGTAGAATTTTTTCGAAATCCGCAGAAATTCAAAGTAAATTTTAGTAGAAATTCAGTTAAATTTATTCTGAAAACCGTAAATTTTCTGAAAATTGAGTAAGAATTTAAACTAAATTTTAGCAGAAATTAGTAAAATTTAGTTGAAAAAATATAAAATTTTTCATAAAAACGCAAAAATTTGAAGTAAACTTTAGCAAAAAATAATAAATTTTTTTCTTAAAATGTATAGAAATTTAAAATAAATTTTATAAGAAATTCAATTAAATTTACTCTGAAAACAGTAAAATTTTCTAGAAACTGAGTTAGAATTCAAACCAAATTTTAGCAGAAATTAATGAAACTTACATTGAACGTGATAAAATTTAGTTAAAAAATTCTAAAATGTTTCATAAAAGCCTAGAAATTCGAAGAAAATTTTAACAGAAATTAAGTAAAATTTACTTCGAAAGTAGTAAAATTTTCCTTTAATAAATGCAAAGAAATTAAGTAAAATTTGCTCCAAAAATAGCAAAATTTTATAAAAAATGCTCATAAATTTTAACAATTTAAGTTGTATAATTTTTTAATATTAAAAAAATACTGTTTAATTTTTTCCCGTGTACATTTCATTCAAAAATCTATTTTTTACTGTAAAAATGTTCTTTAACTTTGAAAATTTAAACCTCAATTTATTTCTATTCCCCACAGTCCTATTAAAGGATATAAAAATTCAAAAATTTGTATAATATCTACGAATACATTATTTAATTGGGATTTTTTTTATCTTCCCCATGAGTAATAAACAAGATAATGAATCCAATTTGCATTGTTGGCATGGAAAGTGCTCATCAGAATAAAAAGAGAGAAAAAAAGAAGTAATCTTTATACCTTGAAATTAATGAAATCATTTTTTTATGCGCATTTATAGAAGTTTATCGAACTGTAGAATATAGTAGGTAGACTGAGAGACTAATAGTATAGAATCATTCCTACAAATGAAATCTTGAAGGATAATTCTAAGAAGGGTATAAATATAAATTTTTTCCCATCAGAACCATATTCTTTATCTCATTTGTATATTTGATTTGTAATGTAAAATATATAATCGATGCACGTGTGCAAAGAAGACTTTTTATCTAATTACTCGTCACGGGATTGAAATTATGTTCCAGTGTCCTAGTTTTATATGATCTCAACACAGTCGAACAATCATGAAACTCACTCGAAGGTTATACATTATACATTGTACGGCAATTACCGCAAGTGATTCGTTTGCTGGTGAAAATAAATTTATGGAATAGTTTTGAAAAAAGTGAGGAAGACTGAAAAAAAAAAATTCTTTCGAAGAGACGAAAAAAAGCGGAAATAAAATTCTGCTAAAAATGTAAGAGTTGTTTTAGTATTTTTTTTGGGGAGAAAATGATGTACATAAATATATTCATTTACATAATATTTTTTCGGAGTAAAATGCTTGGTTTTATTTTGTTTCTGCTTCCTTTGAGATCAGTGGTGGAAAGATGAAAGACACCCCTGTTATGTGATACACGATCGTCGGACGTTTCAAAGTTCCTCTCCTTTCAGGTTCGTTGATATATCCTACCGTGCGCACTTATTCAGGAGAAATTTGTTCGAGCCGACAGCTGATCAAAGGACTTCAATAAATGCAACAAACCCATCGCCCTCCTTCCCATTTCGCATTGATCGCGTAATCACTTTTTGCCAGCCTTGGCACAGGTTCACTATTATATATATATACATATATATATGACGTATACCCAATGCGCAGGTTGTACCTGTTATTCAAGAAATTGATCCCCTTTTGCATTCAAAGCAAATCCTATTTTTTTATCCTCCACTTCACTATATCTGTATATTTCTCATTTAATTCCCTTTTATTCTCTCTTTCTTCTCTTGTTCAATTTTTCAAATATTAAATATATTTTTCGAAGTGTACAATTTTCTTCTGTACAATTTGAAACGTCTTCTTATATTGTTTCTTGGGGATTCTGCATTTAAATTGAAAATTGAGTTGATTTTTAGAATTTCAAAATGTTGTGTACAATACCTAAGGTGAAGATCATAATTTTTATTTATAAAAACAATATTGTTGATAATTTTTGTGATATAGTTTATTATGGGGCCCCCGCATTTCTAGATACGTTCTTGAGGCGGACATATTGGCTTCGCCATTTTGAATCTTGACTTAAAAGTCCCATTTGATATTTAAGTGTAACAATACTCAAGTAATTTATTTAATATTTATTGATAATTACTTATTGGGGGGCCCTCTACATTTTTAGTTACGGTCCTGCAATCGCCATATTGACTTCGCCATTTTGAATCTTGACTTAAAAGTCCCATTTGATATTTAAGTGTAACAATACTCAAGTAATTTATTTAATATTTATTGATAATTACTTATTGGGGGGCCCTCTACATTTTTAGTTACGGTCCTGCAATCGCCATATTGACTTCGCCATTTTGAATCTTGACTTAAAAGTCCCATTTGATATTTAAGTGTAACAATACTCAAGTAATTTATTTAATATTTATTGATAATTACTTATTGGGGGGCCCTCTACATTTTTAGTTACGGTCCTGCAATCGCCATATTGACTTCGCCATTTTTAATCTTGACTTAAAAGTCCCATTTGATATTTAAGTGTTAAAAGTGTTAAGTTATTTAAAAAAAAATTGATAAAATACTTCGCAAAAATTCAATTAATATCATAAATAATAAAATTTTCACAGGAATTCAATTATGTGAAATATAATTTCCAAAACAAAATTTTAAATGAATTATTTTCTAAAATTATGACAACATTTGTTTATAAAAATTAAATTATTTTCATAAATAATAAAAAACATTGCAAGAATTCAATTATTTTTAATACAGTTTTTATTAAATTATTCGAAGTAATTGAATTATTGTTTTAAATTTTCATAAAATTCTTTAAACAAATTCAATATTATTTACAAAAATTTTAATAAAATCGTTCGCAAGAATTTAATTATTTTCATAAATAATAAAATTCGTTACAGAAATTAAATTATTTAAAAAAGTTTACTGAAATTCGTTGCAAGAATTCAATTATTTTTTTAAATAAAAAAAATTTTACAGGAAATCAATTATTTATCGTAATGTACTGAAGTTCTTTGCAAGAAGTCAATTATTTTCATAAATTATAAAATTCTTCACAGAAATTCAATTATTAAAAAAAATTAACTTCAATTTGTTGCAAGAAAAAAATTTACTGAAATTCGTTGCAAGAATTCAATTATTTTCATAAATAATAAAA